AATTTGATTGGATATTAACGCAGATAGTTTCTAAATTTGTACTAGCCAAAACTTCACTATATCGAGCGCCGACTGTACTAGGTGTAACCCGTCAGCTTCGCTGACGGTTTACATCTAGAGCACATTATAAATAATCTTGTAAATTTTTTTTTATTTTATTCAAATTTATTTAATATTTTGTAAATCCATAATACTAATAAGTTTGATTGCATTTATTATAAATATGTATAGATTTAAAAAAATAAAAATTTTAATTGACATGATTTTGTTAAATATTTGATTTCATGACTACAAAATGTCACATTTATTATTATAATCACATACATACCTCACAAATTATCCTATTGTAACACTTCAGGGTAAACAATATTAGATGTAAGATTAGCACAACGCACATTTTCTCCATTGCATTTAGAGGTAAGAATTTTCAAGTTCTTCCGTGATGTTACTCTTGAACAGGCAACATATAATTGTCCATGAGAGAATCTTCTTTTCTACTATCTGTGATTACCATCTGCAAGTCCAAGGATGGATTTAATCTTACAATGTCTCCAGCTTGTTTGAACATTTCACAATATGGGTTCACATCATGTAACATTTGCTGAAGCTCCTCAAGAATAACTGGATCAAGATTAGGCATTACATTCATCCTGTTTTGCAATTCATGCTCAGTATCATACACATATATTTGAGCAAATTGAGGGCGAGCTTCATTGTCAGGAAGCATTGTGCCTATGCTATGATACATTTCTCCATGAACACGAAAGCTGTAAACACCACTTGTTCCTGTTATACTATTATCAACCTTTGCACCCATAGATGTAAAAGCCAAAGCTGAATTATATGACCTAATATTTTTCCTAAATAAACGTGCACTTGGATCTGTCCTAGTAAGAAGCATGTTGAGAGGATGTGGTAATTCCTCAATAGGAGGAAGAGAAACCTTGCCTTTGGCACAACATGTTGTAAAAATTGGTGATCGTGTAGATGTGCCTTTTTTTCTTTCATCTATCCACAACAGTGCCCCGCAACAATTGCATCAATGATTCATGCTTCCCAGAGAGTGACGGTCTAAACCTTGTGAACACCATGGATAAACACGCGCTTTTGATGTTTTTAGAAGAACAGTAGTCGGAGGAATAACTACTTCTTGCTCAGCAGTAGACATGTTATTTTCTAAAAATTGCTCAAGTCCCGTAGGGCCATCTGAATCCACATTTCTTTTGTTTTCACGATAACGCCGTTGTCGTTCACGATTAAGTCTTTGTTGATGTTCTTCAGAAGTCTCATCCATAATGTCACTAACTACACCTTGCATACATACCTTCTTTTCTCCTGGGTGGTCAAGTTCCGTAGGGCCATCTGAATCCACATTTCTTTTGTTTTTGCGATAACGTTGTTGTCGTTCACGATTAAGTCTTCGTCGACGTTCATCAGAAGTCTCATTCATAGTGTTATTTCTATCCATAATTTTCTTGTGTGTTATTTTTAAATTAGTAAAATAAATTGGTAAAAAAACGCGTAATATATGAAATTTTATTGTGGAAATTAGGAATAGTCACGAAAAGTATTCAAACGCGTAACATACGAAATTTTATTGTAGAAATTTTATTGTGATATATACATTTGCACCATTACACATTTTAAAAATTATTATTTACATGTGGTAGTCTAAAAGTTACGCATTACAACATATTTATTTACGTGTGTGACGATACAATAATAGATAGATTACATGAACAGGAGGGAACGTCCTATATAAGGAATGGATTTTCACAATTGATTTCAATTTTTTTTATACAGTTTAAAATA